TAACTCATTGGAGTTTAAAATAAACAAAACGTGGATAGAAGAATAAAAGTTGGAATTACCATTGGCGACTATAATGGCGTTGGCCCGGAAATCATTGTACGATTGCTGGAAGACGACCGTATTTTCAAGTTCTGCGATATTATAGTGTATGGCCAACGGCCTATTTTGAACTTTTACGCGAAAGCATTAAAAGCGCATAACTTTCAAACGCAGGAAGTAAAAGACACAGAGAAGTTAAATCCAAAAATCGGTAACGTAATTAACTGCTTTGAAGAGCAAGTAAAAATTGAACCGGGTGTTGAATCGGTTGAGGCTGGAAAATATGCGTTGATTTGCTTAGACAAAGCCATTGCTGATGTTTTAGCCAAAGAAATTGATGTTTTGGTAACCGGTCCGGTAAACAAAAACATGATTGCGCAACACGAGCCTAACTTCCACGGACAAACAGAATACATTGCCGAAAAAACAGGTGGAGAAAAATCGTTGATGTTGTTGGCGGATGAAAATTTACGTATTGGTTTAGCTACAAATCATGTACCGGTGAAGGATGTAGCGCAAAAAATTGATTCGGCTTCGTTAATGCAGAAATTGGAGTTATTTTATCAATCGTTGCAAAAAGATCATTTGATCAATAAGCCGCGAATTGCAGTTTTAGGACTTAACCCACACAGTGGAGATGGCGGTTTAATTGGTAAAGAGGAAAAAGACATTATTGCTCCAACCGTTCAAAAAGCGCGCGATAAGGGCATGATAACGCTTGGACCATTTGCAGCAGATGGTTTCTTCGGTACAGGTAATTACATGAAGTTTGATGGTGTTTTAGCCATGTATCACGATCAAGGGTTGGTGCCATTTAAAACTATTTCGTTTAACTCCGGGGTGAATTTTACAGCCGGATTAAAAGTCATTCGCACTTCACCGGATCATGGAACAGGTTACGATATCGCAGGAAAAAATTTAGCGAGTTGCGATTCATTGAGAGCAGCCGTATTCATGGGTATAGACATTCACAAAAACCGATTAGTGTATGCAGAAATGACCGCTAACCCGGTAGAGAAAGTAAGATTGAACGAAGAGCGAGAAGGTTAATTCACAGCTTTAAGATATTCATAAATTTTCTCCCAATCTCTTGATTCAACAGCGATGTATTCTTGCAATGCTTCGCTGCTTAATTCAACTTCACCGCCTCCTAAATTTCGACCATCATTCAGCCAAAAGCATTTCGCGCCAAGGTTTTTAGCCAACATCACATCGGTGATACGATCGCCAATTACAAAAGAATTTTCCAAGTCGTATTCGGGTGAAAAATATTCTTTTAGCATACCTACACCCGGCTTTCGAGTATCTTTGTTTTCATTCGGAAAAGTTCGATCGATATGTTCGGCTGCAAAGTGTATTCCTTGATCAGCAAAGGTTCTCATCACAAATTTATGGGTTGTAAAGAAAGGTTCATCCGGAAAAAAATCGGAACCCAAACCATCCTGATTCGTAACTAACACCAATTTATAATCGAACTCTTCTGCAATTTTGCCTAACCAATAAAACACCTTAGGATAAAAGGTAATCTTAGCGTAGGTTTCAATCATGAAATCGTCTGTTTCGAGGATAATTGTTCCGTCTCGATCAATGAATAATACTTTTTGCATAACTTATATTTTACCCACTCTGGCCAACCATTTTGGCAGAATGACAATTCCGACAATGATATAAAAATAGAAATTAAATCCTCTCCAAATGAGGGTTACAATGGGCGCTAAGCCGTCTTTAATAAACTCGCAATTCAACGCCATAAACGATAATTCTGCAATACCGCTACCCCCCGGAGTGGCAGGAATAATAACGATTACACGGTGAACATACTGTCGTGCGAATACATCTAAATTATCGAATAAGCCCGAAGCAAAACCATAGATCAACACATTCGCCAATGCGTAACGTGCACACCAAGAAATGGTAGTGCCGATCAGCAATTTAATCACAAAACCCGTTCCCTTGTTCTGAAATTCTATGGAGGTGTGCAAGATGTCTACACTGATATGATGTATTTGCTTTTCCCAACGATTGATGAATTTTATCTGTGCTATTTTATTTAAGAAGGAAACTGCGTATTGCGGACGAATAAACAACGAAAAGCCCAATATCATTCCCGACATGGCAACGGCTAGAAAGCCAATCCACACGTACTCCCCAACAGAACGAAATGCTTTAACAGCCGACAGTTGATCCAAGCTTCCACAAGTAGCTGAAAGATCAAACATGTGATGGCCCAATATCAAATACAATGTGCCGAATACAATTACAAACGCAATATTATCAAGATAAGAACAAAGCATAAGAATGGATGTAGCTTTCCCGGGTTTTATTCCTTCTTTATACAGAATCAAAAACGCCATGGATACACCACCAAATGAAGCAGGCGTAACAGATGAGCCAAATTCCCATAGAAAAATAATCTCAATGCATTTGCCAATACTGAGTTTGCGATCGTTCAATTCCCACATACGATACACATACGCTGCATCGCGGATAAATACTGTACCAACAGCTAAAAGTAAAATAGAAACTAAATGGCTTGTGAGTGTAATAGATGCCACTTGCGCATAGTCCACTTTCGATAAAAGATATACAAGATAAGCAGTAGCCAACAAGGTTATACCTATCGGCAAAAGCATATTCCGCCACGAAAAAATTGATCTGGGATTTGTTTCCTGCATTTCGCATGAAAGTAAAAAAAGTTGAGTGAACTTTTGCGAAAATATTTGACTAGAATTTCAAACGCCTATCATTAATGCGCCTCCAACCAATTTTGACCAACTCCAATTTCCACCTCAATTGGCACATTGAGCTTTATGGCATTCACCATACAATCAGCAATAATTGGCTTTACGATCTCAAGTTCATTGTTCAACACATCAAAGACTAACTCATCATGCACTTGTAATGTCATTTTTGACTGAATGTTTTGCTCGCTGAATCTCTTGTGAATGTTAATCATAGCAATTTTAATCATGTCGGCTGCAGACCCTTGTACCGGTGCGTTAATCGCCTCGCGTTCCGCAAAGCCACGCACAGTAAAGTTTTTGGAGTTGATATCCTTCAGATAACGTCTTCGTCCCATGATTGTTTTTACAAAACCATTTTCACGGGCAAAGACTAAAGTATCGTCCATATATTTCTTGATGCCAGGATATTGAATGAAATAATTTTCAATCAACGAAGCCGCTTCCTTTCTGGGAATTCCCAGGCGCTGCGACAACCCAAAGGCTGAAATCGAATAGATAATTCCGAAGTTTACCATCTTTGCTTTGGAACGCATTTCTTTTGTTACTTCCGTTGTTGGCACACCGAAAACCCTTGCTGCTGTTGCCGTGTGAATGTCTATACCATCTCGAAAATCTTTGAGCATATTTTCTTCGTTACTAATTTCAGCCACCAAACGCAATTCAATTTGCGAGTAATCGGCTGATATTAGCGTGTGGTTTTCATCGCGTGGAATAAAGGCTCTTCTGATTTTCATACCTCGTTCAGAACGGATTGGAATGTTCTGTAAATTTGGATTGATAGAGCTCAAACGCCCGGTAGCTGCAATCGTTTGATTGAAGGTAGTATGCACACGTCCTGTTTTCGCATGAATCAACTCCGGCAATGCATCTACATATGTCGATTTCAATTTTGCAATTTCACGGTAATCTAAAATCTTAGCAGCGATAGGATATTCAGGCGCTAATCGCTGCAATACCTCTTCGTTAGTAGATGCCTGACCAGTAGCCGTTTTTTTGTCTTGCGGTAGTTTTAAATGTTTAAACAACACTTCTCCCATTTGCTTAGGTGAGTCGAGATTAAACTTTAATCCCGAAAGGCTAAAAATCTCCTCACTTACTACATCAATTTCATACTTAAGATTCGCTGAATATTCGTTCAAAAATTCCTTATCGATTTTCACCCCTTGTCGTTCCATATCGCCCAATACAGGAATCAAAGGCAATTCAATATCATGTAACACATTCACAACTTCACGTTCTAGCACACTCGGCTCAAAAACTTGCTTCAATTGAAATGTAATATCCGCATCCTCCGCTGCATATTCTGCAATCTTCTCTAACTCCACATCGCGCATCGTGCCTTGATTTTTGCCTTTCTTGCCAATCAGTGTTTCGATTGAAACAGGAGAATAACCCAAATACGATTCACTCAGAAAATCCATACCATGTTTCATATCAGGTTCCAACAAATAATGCGCCAACATGGTATCGTAAATTGGCAAACTAACTTCTATGTCGTACTGCTTCAACACATGCCAATCGAACTTCACGTTTTGCCCGATTTTTACAATGCTTGTCGATTCAAAAAATGGCTTAAAATGACTCAATACCGAAAACGCTGCAGTTCTTTCAGCCGGTACCGGCACATAATACCCTTCGCCACTTTTGAAAGAAAAAGAAAGACCAACAATTTCTAAATCGAAATAATCTAATGATGTAGTTTCTGTATCAAAGCACACCTCTTTTTCCTGTAATAATGTCTTCACAAAATCATCATAAGCCGAAGAGATTACAACATACTTGTGCTCTGTATTTGCAATATTTTTCCCGGCTACTTTTTGCGAAAATAAATCCGGTGTATCATTAGTAAATTCTTTTTTCGACACTTTTTCTTCTACTGCATTGCCAAACAAATCGGTTGAACCTGTTGGTTTAGGCGGTGCTGCAGTAGTAGTATTCACTGAAAAATCGCTACCTAAAACGCGTCTACCAATGGTTCTAAATTCCAATTCAGAAAAAATCTCTGTCAATCGTTCTTTGTTAGGCGGATCCATTTTCAATTCGTCATCCGTAACATCGATGGGCACGTCAAGAATAATGGTAGCGAGCTTTTTAGAAATTAGACCCTGCTCCGAAAAAGCAGCAATGTTTTCACCTAGCTTTCCTTTAATACTTGGTGCATTGGCAACTACATTCTCCATTGAACCGTATTCCTTAATGAGTTTTTTAGCGGTTTTTTCAACTACACACTTCTTTTGCTTTCTTCTTCGCAATCGTGCCAATGATATCATCGGCCTCATACCCCGAAAACTCTAAAATGGGAATGTGAAACCCTTTCAAAATCTCTTTTATCCAAGGCACAGCAATGGTGATATCTTCAGGTGTTTCTTGTCGGTTCGCTTTGTAGAACTCATGTTCAGTTGCACGATCGGTTGGCCCTGCCGAATCGAAAACCACCGCAAGATGAGTAGGCTTTTCTTTGTTCATCAAATCGAGCAAAGTAGTGGTGAACCCATTAATGGCAGAAACATTCATGCCCTTAGAGTTGATTAGCGGATTTTTAGCAAAGGCATAATAGGAGCGGAAAATAAGCGCAAAAGCATCAAGTAAGAAGAGTTTCGGTTCAGCCATAATTGTATTTATTGGAGCAAAATAATTATATAAATTGATATTGTGCTTTGACGATCAACATTCAGTATTTATAACCTGGCTTTTGGGGGCAATGTGGTTGCTTTGCCCCAGCGGGGCAAAATGTTTATAGAAGATTTTTTTACAATGGATGAGCTCCGTAGGAGCGACCTGATTTATTTCAATTTTTTATGTAATTTTCATTTGTATTAAACCCCTAATATATGCCCAACACCTATTCCCAAATATACATTCAAATTGTATTCGCAGTCCAAGGAAGACAGAATTTGATTGCCAGCTCCAATCGAGAAGAATTGCATAAATACATTACTGGCATTGTTCAAAACAGAAATCAAAAACTACTTACTATTTTTGCTATGCCCAACCATGTTCATATATTAGTTGGAATAAAACCATCAATAGCAATTTCTGATTTAGTGAGAGATATCAAAGCAGGGTCATCAAAGTTTATCAATGATAATGGTTGGAATAATTACAAATTCAATTGGCAAGAAGGGTTTGGTGCGTTCTCCTATTCAAAAAGTCAGGTCAATTCTGTTATAAAGTATATAATGAAACAGGAAGAACATCATCGAAAAATATCGTTCAAAGAAGAGTATATTGAATTCTTAAACAAGTTTGAAATAGAATATAATGAACAATATCTCTTTGATTGGATTGATTGACAGGTCGCTCCTACGGAGCTCGCTATAACATTGCACCTTAACTACTAACATTTTGCCCCTATGGGGCTGTGAGAGTATAATACGAATTATCTTATAAAAGCACTATGGTAAACAATACTATCGAATGATTGAAACATTGAATTATTTTCACGGAGTTAAACATCTTTAGTCAAAAGACCCTACCTTTGTCTATGTTTTCCAACCGACAACTCTTTTTATCGCACATTGCCCAAACAAGTCCCGCACCCATGCTTTTGGAACTTGTACGCGCTGAAGGCATTTATTTGTACGACACGCAAGACAAAGCCAATATCGATTTAATTTCAGGGTTTGCTGTTAGTAACATTGGGCATTCGCATCCGAAAGTGCTAGAGGCTGTGCGTTCGCAAACAGAAAAATACATGCACTTGATGGTATATGGCGAAGTGGTGCAAACGCCACAAGTAGTGTATGCAAAGGCATTGACAGATCATCTTCCTAAACCATTGAATACTGTTTATTTCACCAACTCAGGTGCTGAAGCTACTGAAGGTGCTATGAAATTAGCGAAGCGTGTCACCAGTCGTTCGCAATTTGTGCATTTTAAAGATTCATATCACGGTTCTACACAAGGCGCTTTGAGTGTGATGGGGGATGAATATTTCAAACAAAGTTTTCGTCCGTTGCTACCCGACATATTGATGTTGGAATATAATAACAGCGAGCAACTCAGCGCCATTAGCGAAAAAACAGCCGCAGTGCTTATCGATCCGGTGCAAGCTGAATCAGGCACCACTGTTCCATCTGTGGAATTCATGTTGGCGCTACGTAAACGTTGTGATGCAACCGGCACATTATTAATTATGGATGAAGCACAAACCGGATTTGGCAGAACCGGCAAATTGTGGGGCTTTCAGCATTTCGATTGCGAACCGGATATTTTGCTATTGGCCAAAGCTATTGGAGGTGGAATGCCATTAGGCGCGTTTATTGCTTCACAAGAACACATGCGTACATTTACTGAAAATCCTGTGCTTGGCCATATCACTACTTTTGGTGGACATCCGGTATCTTGTGCATCGGGGCTAGCGGCATTTAATGTATTGTTAGAGGAAAACCTCATCGCTTCAGTGGAATCGAAAGGACAATTATTTGAATCGTTACTCAACGAAAATCAATACATCAAATCGATTCGTAGAAAGGGTTTGATGATGGCATTGGAATTTGAAAATGCTGAACTGAATCAAAAAATTGTGCATCAATGCGTAAAAAACGGATTAGTTACCGATTGGTTTTTATT